TAATCAATAATGAAAATCATAAGGAAAGAGGGAATGAGTGTAATTTGAAACAAAATAGCTGAGCTTGGGACTAGTGTACACTTCTAGGGCATGATCCCTATAAACCCCAATCTCATATCAGGATTACAATTTAAGTAAGAATAATGGGATATCCCCATCATCAAAAATTGTTATGCAAATAAGCAAGGAGGAGCCAGCCCCCAGCCCCCACTACTCAGCTCAGAGATAACCTGGATAGGAAGAAATTCAAGCCCCGTAATACCCGTAATCATGCAACAAACCCATGAGCCTCTGGCATCTCTCACCACTCTACTTGTCAATCACTCTTTTTAGAGAGTCTCTGCAGGAACCGCATGAAGGCAAAATTCTTATCCCCACCAGAGGGTGGTAATTTTACCAGGTAACTCAGACTCCTTCAAGCCAAATAATTCCCTCAGGGACAGAAGGCATCAGTTAAAAAATTTGAGTGTTGACTCCCAAGCTCAGCACCAAAGTGCCTCAAGAACCAAATCAAGTGGTAAAATCTGCCAATGACAACACTTACTTGGTCTCAAGCCACTCAGAGCTATTAAGAGACAGTATTCCAAAAAATGCCATTCTACAATACACCAGTAGAAAGCACAGGATAAAGAATTCTCTATCATCTTCTTTTCGGGGAAGCCATAACAACAAGAGCTGAATAATAAGGACAAACTGAAACGTATTAATTCATGGGCACTGGATAACAAATGAATTTGTAATTCAGTCAGCTGGCAACCAGGAAATTCAACTTAGCCAGTTCATCAACCAACTGACCTCGTCTTAGGCATGTCAAGAGAAACACCAAGATTGACAGTAATCCAGAAAGCAGAAATTCCTGTCATTCTCTCTCATTTCCACCCTCACTGAGCTCACGAATGTGTCTGGTTGGACAATCAAAACACAATCCTTCTGGTGTCTATACATAGTAGGGAGACTATAGCTTATAACAATGTAGTGTATATTTCAAGATAGCTAAAAAAGAGGATCTTAAAAGCTATTACCGCAAAGAAATGATAAATGTTTGAGGTTGCTGGATATACTAACCACCTTCATTTAATTATTATATTATTATATAACATATACATGTATTGAAGCATCACACTGTACCCCACATATATGTAAAATTATGATGTGTCATAATTTTACTTTTAATACATTTAATAAGTAAATGTCTAAATTTACTTATTATTACAAAATAATAAGTAAATTTAGACATTTTTAAAAATTGAAAAAGAAACACATAATGCAAACTTCCTAGTGACTAAAATACCTTGCCATTTGAGTTCAAAAGTCTTCTAAGCCAGGCGCGGTGGCTCACGCCTGTAATCCTAGCACTTTGGGAGGCCAAGGCAGGTGGATCACTTGAGGCCAGAAGTTCGAGACCAGCCTGCCCAACACAGTGAAACCCCGTCTCCACTAAAAATACAAAAATTAGCCAGGAGTGGTAGTATACATCTGTAGTCCCAGCTACTCGGGAAGCTGAGGCAGGAGAATCACTTGAACCCAGGAGGCAGAAGTTGCAGTGAGTAGAGACTGCACAAGTACACTCCAGCCTGGGTAACAGAGTGAGACTCTGTCTCAAAAAAAAAAAAAAAAAAAGTCTTCTAGATAGTCTCCTTCCTTTGTTGAATATAATATTCTCCTTCCTTCATTAAATATAGTGATTCTGGGTTCCCACCTCTAGGAATATTCTCAGAGAAGGGTTATTGAAAATTAAGGAATTCGGGCCCTTACTCAGAGTCACAAAGCACCCTTGTCATTCACACCGATCATACTTCTGCTACAATAAAATCTTAAGGACAAATCCCATAGAAACTTTTGGCAGTGTGGAAAAGCACAGGGCCCAGGTGTCTCTTAAAAAGAGGAGCAAATATAGTTTATACCTTTACCACAAACACAGGCAACACAGTATCAGCTCCTTGAACAACCCATTCCTGCTCAAAGGAAAAATTAACCGATGCACAAAATTATCTTTATTTTGAAAATTCTGAGATTCCCCTTCAATCATGTGTCCACATATGTGCAAGGAAAGATGCAGTACTAATATCCAAATTAGAAAAGTCACAGAGAGAGCTACAGACATGAAATACAAGGTGAGCCAAACTCCCCAAAACAAAGGTGTAAGGCACACTCTTCTTGGATACATTTGGCCCAACTTTGGAGTGGTTCTGGCAGGACTACAAGAAATATCAGGATCAGAGTTAGCCTGACAAATTCACTATATTCTTTACTCTGCTCCAGTGACACCTACACAAACCTCAAGAATAGTTGCTCTGGAACTCCAAGAATTTCAGAACACTTGGGTTTAAGATTCCTATCACAGTGTCAATGAACCAAGGGGATTGGGGACTAGTTTTTTTCTCCTCAAGGAATTCTTGAGATTTTCAGTACAGGTCTCAGTCCAGTGCAGATTCTATTTTCCCATCTCACCTTTCTAAATTGGTAATCCCTTGAAGCAACAATACCATGTTACCCTGGGACAAATCTAACTAAAATGGTTATAAGATGAGGCATGCATGGTGGATCACCCAGTGACTGCCTTTCAACCACTGTACCTTAAGATAAAATGTGATATACTTATTATGCAAATGCAGACTTGCGATAGTAAAATGCTATGAAATATTAATTGTTGGAATTGTTCCTCTTTTTTGAGGTTGCAGTCATCAGTCCAAGTGAACTGGTGATGGAATATGTGTGGCAAGCCTGAAGTTGATTTGGGACACACAAGTATGATCACAGAAAGCTTCAGAAGTAGTAGGATATCACAAGGGAGAGACTGAGGTGTAAACAAGGCCCAAATTCTTTTTGTACCTAAACTTAGGCAATCACACAAGTTGAAAAGAACTCACTCAAGGGTTGCTTCAAGTGGTTTAACCACTGCTGGAATAATAGAAAAAATGAAGATACACACATGCAAATCAAATAGTAAGAAACAAAACGTGAAAGTGTTACCAAAATGACCCAGCAAAAAGTGTGTGTGTGTGTGTGTGTATGCATTTGTGTGTGTGTAAAAATCATCATCTTATATGTAGGAGAATCTTGGAGTATTGCCACACATCTCCTTTAGAATATTCTCATTATTGATTATGCCAAGGACACAGATGTAAAGTGAGGTATACAAGGCAAATTGGGTTATGTGGTCACTCTACCTATATGGCGACTGGTGGTCTCTACTTTCAAACCAAATGACTAAGCTGAAATAAAATTTAGGTATGCATTCACAAAAAAGAATACTCTTATTATCCAATCTACATAGCATATATATATATATGCATACACACACACACACATACATAAATACATATATATGTAATGCATCCAATTTGTAAGAAACACTCTCTCAGAAAAAACTAGCTGCAGTTCCCTCATACTGTTTTCCTAGAGAAATGTGACAAAAAATTAAAACAGATGTTGTTCTAACCACGCATAAAGTGAAAATCAATTATGACTATTTCCTTTCCTGGAGTCATTTCATTTTAGAGAGCATCTAACTAAAACCCTTTCTTGATATAAATGAAAAAGCACTTCTTTGAAACACACAACTAGTAAATGATATATATCAGTTTGCATCCTGTGACATACTGCTAATCCTCTGAGTATTAAATTGCCTCTGTTTCAGTTATATAAGTGTTTAATTTTTTTCATCTTGAGTCATAGTGAGGTTTCCCAGAAAGTGTATTATCTCTGCAGATGTCACCACTCACCAATTAGGGAAGGCAGCAGTGCACAATTCATAGTGACCTCTCTATATAATAGACTTTGACACTTGGGTCTGCTGGGGATGGGATGGATTAGACAATTTAATAGAATCTACAGTGACTAATTTTTTTTCCATGAAAAACATTTTGTTTTGTAGATAGTGCATTTTTTTCCTTTGATTTCCAAAACCAAAACAAAAGCATTTAATGATGTTTACAGTGAAATGAAACAGCTGAAGACCAGCACATAATCACCATATTTTGTTTTCTCATCTTTAAGTCTTTTAGCAGTAGGGCTTCCAGCTGAGCTTGAGTCTAGCTTTTTCTCAAGACATAGCCAAGCATTCTGAAGCTTCACTGAGCCTAACCACCAAGTTGAATTCATATTTCTTAATTGAAAAAGACAGGCTGTTTGCATAGCATGTTTGCATCAGTAAAATATTGAAAATGACATTTGTGCCCAAGTCCATCTAAACATTCTGCCTTAGCTGAACTCTGCTAATGTTTTTATACCCTGGTTTCTGCCTAGCAAAGTTTTAAATAGTGCCTCTTGATAAAGCATGTGTGGCTGAGTTCTGAGTTCACAGAAATAGACTCTTTTTCATACATGAGGATGCTACTCCTGACATGTGCTTTGAGGTACCTTTCACATTAATGGAATATTTTACATTGACTCAGCCATGTTCTCTTACCCTGGTCTCCCCTATGACTAATGGCATGGTTTTGTGTGGAAGCTAGAGGGAGGGATTTGGCAGAGCAGCCCCATAGACAAAATGGGAAGTTTAGTACTTTCTATCCTCAGTAAATAGTACACCATCTGCAGTCAGAGAACAGAGTCTCACTCTGGGTAAAGCTAACCAGTCTGATAGGGAAATAAAACCCACCCCTTTGGTCTCATTAGTGCTGCGTTCTATGCAATTCAATTGATCAGCTGAATTCATGTACTAAAGCAAAAAGAGGCATTTATTCCTGGAGAGAAGGCATCTGTTCATCTCCTATGAGCTCAGTGTAGTTTTATTGAAGAAAATGTATGCAATATGTACATGTAGTAAGCTTCTGAAGTGCCTGAACATTATACAGACCTAGAGGATCCACTTAGGGAGGGAAAAGAAGAATCTGGCTAGGTGTCAAGACATCTCAAAAACCTGTAGATGCTGCTGAGGTGTGAGCTCTGTAGACACCTTGATAATACACTCATTAAGCAAAGTAGTATAGTGTGCCTACAAACATTTTGGGTTCTTTGGAGTCGACTGTTGCAACTTACATCCAAACAGTCCTTACCATGGTCAGGCATCTGAGATCCCATGGAGGTCACACTGGTGTTCAGCACATCATTGACAGCAGTATCACAATACAGGCTCCGCTGGACATCATGCTCACTGTCAGTTTGGTCACTCTCCTCATGTCCACTATCCTTCAGGCTGTTGCCCTCTAAGTCCTTGAAGGTGGAGCTGCTGGGTTGAAGAAAGAATGATAATTTATGACCGTGACAGATCTGATTTTAAAAATCTTTCTGAGCCAGGATGATGTCAGCTCCGTAATGAGGCAAACAGTGGCTAGATTGCCCAACAGGGTAGGAATAAGGCAAAGAGAAATTTGTGTTTAAAGATAATAAAACTTAACATTGCAGAGAGGTTCCCACTATTGGATGCTGATACAGCTAACATTTTCATTCACTTATCTTAAATGCATCACTACAGACAAGGTGGAAGAAGTTACATTTCTAAAACTGCTTCTAAAGAATGTCATCATTTCAGAAGGCTTTTTTCTCTTCTTATAAAATCAAAGTAAAATAATAATAGCTAGTGTTTACTGAGCAATTACTATTCATGAGGCACTGTTTTAAGTGTTTGGCATTAATTAACTGTTTAAATCATCACAACTGTATAAGAGAAAGGCGCTACTAATATTCTCATTTACAGGTGAAAAAAAAACACAGGTACATGGAAGTGAGATAACTCGCCCAAGGTCACACAGCTGGTAAAAAGTATAGCGGATCTAAGACTGAAAACAGGTAGTCTAGCTCCAGAGCCTGCCTAGAAATTTAACCACTATGTATATTGACTCCTAAAAGATGTCTACTAACCAACTGTAAAAAGCAAAGGTAGCAGAAATTGAAGTAGTGTAACTAAAATAGGAAGGATTATCAGGATCAGAGAACCCAGGTCAGTTTTATCTGAGAAAAACAGATGAACATATTCAAAGAAAAAGAGGAGAGTCAGTAGCTGAGCATGGAAAGTGTGATGTTTAATTCTGTGAGTCAACTTGACTGCACCATGGAATGCCCAGATAACTGATTAAACATTATTTCTGGGTGTGTCTATGAAGGTGTTTTCAGAAGAAATTAGCATTTGAATTGGTAGGGTCAGTAAAGCAGATAACTCTCCCCAATGTGGGTGGGCATCATCAATCCACTGAAGGACTGAATAAAACAAAAATTGAGAAGGAAGTTGAGTTTGCTCTCTGCCTTACTGCTTGAGCTGGAACATTAATCATCTCCCGCCCTCAGTGCTCCTGGTTCTCAAGACTTCAGGCCCTGACTTGAATGTACACTATTGGCTCTCTGGTTCTCAGGCTTTCAAACTACACTTCCATCTTCCCTGGTTCTCCACCTTGCAGATGGCAGATTATGAGACTCCTCAGCCCCCATAATCACATGAGCCCATACCTTACAATAAAACTCTTTCTACATATTTATAGATTTAGATATGCCTATTGGTTCTGTTTCTCTGCAGAACCCTAACTAATATAGAAGGTAAGACAAAAGTGAGAACCAGAAAGTGAGCACTAATACAACTCTGAGTATAGTTATACTAAGAACATGAAAACTTTCAGCTCAAGTGTTGATGTGTAAAATGATTCTTGCATTTATTAAATCAATCTACCATCCAATGCACTAAGCATGCAATCCAAGAACTCCACAACATTTCTCATGAAATAGAGAAAAATGCATAAGGTACAGCTATAGGGCATCCATCTGCTATTTCTAATACTTTGTATGTACTGACAGAATCCACAGCTGTGCTACACCATGAACCATAAATTATGCATCTGAAATACCTAGTGGATGGTGAATCCATTCCCTAGTCGGTGAGGAAGCAGCAAAGGCACACTCAAGAAAATGTGTTGTTGCCTCAACAAGGAAGAGTGTTATGTTTGTGAATTAGAACAAACCCTAGTAGACCTACTATGCCTCTGAGAAAAGAGTCCTGTGGAGATGACACTGCAAACTCACTTGATCTGCTCAACCTTGGACATTCACAGGCCTGGCTCTCTGAGACCGATAAGAAGATTCAGTACACATAATGACGAGCTATGCCATGGACACAATGGATACATTGTCACTTTCCACACTTGGTCAAGAAGAATCACAGCAGATTTTTAACATATGACCAACCTAGATGTAGAATGCTTGCTGACCTGAATATAAAAAGTAAAGATCAGGAAGGCAGTAACTGGAAAGCCGTAATTATAAGAAAATGAAGAGCAGGAGAGAGTGAAGCATTGACCTGTTAGCTAATTATTTTCAGAAAGAATAACTGAGCATCAACTGCACTAAAATTAAAATTACTCAATAGGCCAGCTCATTCAGCTCCTTCAATTTATGTCACACAGCTAACTCAGCCTTATGGACCCACCAGGATGCTGTTCTTTAAAAAAAAAAAAAATTATCTTACAGTTCTTTAATGGTCATGATGGCCAGTTGGAAACACATGATTTAAAGTGTTTCACCATTTCTAGCTTTATGGCATATATTATGGAGTTTTCTGTAAATACTGTTATAATCCCACAGTTTAAATAGATTTAAAGTTTGTTTTTTAGAAATTATTCTCTGTTTTGTGAGGTGGGTGCCTGCCTACAAGCATCCATGTACCTCTGGAGGAAGGAAATGACCTGCCTGGATGATATTCAGGTAACTCCATTTTTATAACAAATATTTAACTTTCCAACCTGTATATTTTCTGGTGTCTCAAAATTTCCTTAATCCACAACACAAATTTGTCACTTTAAGCCAGAGAATTCAACTCTGAATTCAGCAGCTGTTGAAACTTGCTTGAAACATATGATGGTGAGGGGTCTAGTATGGGGGCAATGTAACTAACCAGCCCTTTGAACAGGGCTTCCCAGTCTTGGCAATATTGACATTTGGGGCTGCATAATCCTTTGTTGTGGCTGTCCTGTGCATTATAAGGTGTTTAACAACATCCCTGCCCTTTATCTACTGGATGCCAGTAGTGACCCCCACTTAAGGGAAAAAACCAAAAGTGTCTCCAAAGAGACATTGCCAAATCACCCCACAGTTGAGAACAACTGCTCCAGGTTCTTTATTTCTATAGCAGACTGCAGTGAACAGCCTGAACTTGGAGTCATTAGGAGAGGTAATAATCTATAATCTGCCACTTCATCTGTGTGACCCTGGACCTGATATCTAATGTCTTTAAATCTCAGTTTCTTTATCTGTAAAATGTGTTTGCTAAAACCCCCTTCACAAGGCCATTTAGAAGACTCAAAGAGACACTGTACATGAAGTACCAGATACACATAAATGCTCCATAAGTGGTTATTGTTTAATATGATCATTATTCTGTGTAGTAATGTTTTCACTGAGTTACAATTAAATATTATGCCCATAGTTTTTATAGGATTGGTATAGAGAATTTATATTTAAGGAACTCTTCTATATCTTCTGTAAACAATAGTCACATACTATTAGGCTAATTTCTTCTAACATTAAAGAACAGAAAATGATAGTTCTCCTGTCAAATGGCCATCCTTCCTTTAGTGAATAATGAAAACTATATCACTTGATGTACTTACTGCTTTGTCTTGATTTCTCAAAAACTTCAACATAAATGTAATGTTTAGTTGCAGTCAGTTACCTCCCTGGATGCCAGGGATGTCTACCTTACTTCTCCTAATTGGTTTTGCATCTGCCTTTCAAAAATTTGATCATCTTTTTTATAGGCATCTGAATGTTATAAACAACCTCAGAGATTTTGTTTTTTTAAATAGAAATGATGGAAATAATAAAACAGTGAAGGATTAGCTACTAGGATGTAAGGGACTGGTAGTGTGAACATGGTAAGTTGTGTAGTCTCAGAATAAAAAGCAAGAGGTATAACAACTCCCCAAAACCTTGGAATAGTTAACTCATTTAAAGATTAGTTTGCCCATCTGACAAACTAAGCACCACTTACACTGATCTTGTAAGAGCATTTAGTGGTTTAATGAATGGATTTGTGTAAGGCAGTTTAAGACCCAGTGAGCAAGATGCCGCAAATTGTAAAACAGCCTGGTAAATGGTTACTCACCCAAAACAAATAACAATTTATGCCAGGCATAAAAAAATGCTGATTTCACTTGCTTTATTACCTGCATACCTCTTGGGAGATGAAGGACTTGTAAAACAACTTTTGTGGGACAATAAATTAGGGGTTTCTGTTTCCAATGATATTGCAAATGCACATGTTTCTATTACTGCTCTGGTGGCCAACAGAAAGACAGATATGTTTGAAAACACCTAGAACAGGGTTCTGCACCGAAGAGTTACTCAGCAGATGCATGACGAATGAACATCACACAAATTCTGACCCATATTTACCATCTGAAATATTAGAGCTCTTTTCCAAAAGACATAAGAATCTGAATGGAAACAGGTTATATCTTACAGTAGGTGATACCACATACCCAGGGAATGATATCTGAGGCTAAGAATGAGAAAGGAGTGAGAATGAAGATTATTATAACTGTGTTTAAGTAATACAAGGAAAATCCTAGAGTGGTTTCTGGACCACCTGTATCACAATCACCTTGGAAACCTGTTACAACTGGAGGTTCTCTAGGGATGGAGCTAGCATCTCTGCATTTAACAAGCCTTCCAAGTGATTCCAATGCACATTAAAATCCAGAAATCACCAGCTTAAAGAGAAATCTAGTGCTAGTCTTTAATAGAAAAATGCTAAGGTTTTCTTCAATTCCTCTCATGCATTCATTCAATAAACATGTACCAAGCATTTATTATATACAATGCACCATACGAGATGCTGTAAAAACCCCAGGACAATTTGGGTGGAAAAGAAAGCATTGTGCATGATTTAGGAAGCCAAAGCTCCTAATCCTTTCCACACTGAGTCAGTGCTTTGTTCATTTTCTATTTCATTTTCTTTGGGTCACAGCCTTATGCCCTGCTTGATATTGTTCCCAAAGCACTGTAGGAGTGGATATCAGACAGCAGCCCACAAAACGGGCATGAGGAAAGAGTGCTGCAGCAGGGACAAAGTACCACTGCTGGCTTTCCTTGCTCTGAGAAGACAGCAAGAAAGAAACAGAGCAGGAAGGAAGGCCATTCAGAAGAAACTCTGCACTGCCATGATTTGTTAATCTGGGGTCCTCACATAAGCCTCCTTGGGTACACCTGTAGGTTGCAAGTGACATTCTGAAAAAAGAAAGAAAAAAAAAACTACAGAAATATAATGCTAGATTCCTTGGTGCATAAAATTATGGGAAGCCCGTCATATCACTTCCTTTTCCCAAGGCTGAGCTCCTTTCTCAACCTTGATTTGTGCCTATGAGAACCCCCTTGCCCTCTGGCTTTCTGTTGCGTTTAGCCAAAGGAAGACACCAGCAGGAGATCAGAGCAGGGGAGAACAATGATATCAGGATATTGCTTGTCACTTCATGATGACTGGATCCCTTGGCCAACCAGAAGTCACTGTTACTCTCAAGTCAGTGTTCCCTACATGCTCTCTTCCCTGGTCCTGTCTGAAGTATTTTTAGTTCCTCCAGTGCCATAATACTGCAGTATCCCTTGAGGTTCACTACCCATGCCCAAGCCTTTGTAAATGGTCCCCTTTGTAAATAAACTTTCCTCAAGCCATTCCAATTTAGGTGTGCCAACTATTTCATGTAGGAACCCTGACTGATGAAGGAAAGACCCAGAGATGGACAGTGGTGGCTGCTGTTCAACTACTCAGGGTAGATAGAGGTAAAAGAGGAAAAGATGCCTGTACGTAAACAGTCTGGCTAAGAATGCTAACAACTGCTAAAGAATGCCGAAAAGAAGGGTCCAAGAAACATCCTTGAATAAGTAGAAAGTGAATAGAAGAAGAGAACACGGATAGAAAAATAAGTTCTCAGCCGGGCGTGGTGGCTCACACCTGTAATCCCAGCACTTTGGGAGGTCAAGGTGGGTGGATCATTTGAGGTCAGGTGTTCGAGACTAGCCTGGCTAGCATAGCGAAACCCCATCTCTACTAAAAATAAAAAAAAATTATCCAGGCACGGTGGCACATGTCTGTAATCCCAGCTACTCAGGAGGCTGAGGCAGGAAAATAGCTTGAACCCAGGAGGTGGAGGTTGCAGCGAGCCGAGATCGCGCCACTGCACTCCAACCTAGGCGACAGAGCAAGACTCAGTCTCAAAAAAAAAAAAAGAAAATAAAATAAAAAAGAAAAAGAAGTTCTCAAAGTTAGCCTGAAATTGTATTGGCATTCAAAGAAACAGGGACTTGATAGTAAAATTAAAACTGATAATCAGATTCAGAATTTCCTGGCCAAGAGCTTTTACCACGCATGTAAATGGATCTTCAAGAAACCACACACAGCAAAACCCCTTTCAAACATTGCTGTGAGCTATTTGAACAGGCTTTGCATGACTTTATCACCTGGTGTTAGCCACCACTCTCAACATTTTCCTCACATTTTACATTTAACACAGTTGGTCCCCAGAACAGCATAGCACACAAGATTCCCTGTATCTTTCTAAGTATTATGCTTCGTCTATACTCAATTGACCACACAAATTCCAAGGCCTTCAGGGTTTCCCAAAGCCCTCACAGTTCTCTTAACAGAACCCTGGCAAAAATGCATGTGTCCCTGAGTTTTCAGATGTTTCCTCTTGATCAAGGTGGTCCCTGCTTTTATTAAAAAAAAAAAAAAAAGCAAGCTATCTTTGATTTCATGAAAAATCAGGAGACTTTTTCACCAAGAGTCCATTAAGTCTCGGTTGTGCCTTTTGTGAGTATGTGTCTATAAACAAAAAACATAAAATAATTAACCAAAATCAGAAGTTCCCAGTAAGTCTCAACGCTGCTGTGGAAATACATGTATCCCCAAAGCCATTAATGTTTAAACATAAGTTTTTATCTTATCAGTCTACCTTGTAAATTGGATAGTCAGGACTGATGTAAGATGCAAGGGTGCCTGGGAGTCTTAGCTTTCTTCCAGGCTGTGACAATCAGACTCATATTATCAGGTTTTTAATTTTATTTGTTTATTTTTCTTTTTGGTAGAGATGGTAGGGGGTGGGCGGGGGGGTTGCACTATTTTGCCCAGGCTGGTCTCCAACTCCTGGCCTCAAGCAATCCTCCACCATCAGCTTCCCAAAGCACCGGGATTACAGGCATGAGTCACTGCGCCCAGCATCATGTTATCTGTTTAACCTGGCTATAGAATTCCCAGGTACCCTGAGTTAGCCCAAGGGACCTGTGAGGCTAAGGCAAGTCACTGTTTTTATCAAAGTTTTAAAATGGAGCTTTGAAAGTAACAATCCGGAAGCAGAAAACAAAGCAGGTTTCTGCTATAAAGGCACTCTAATCAGTGCACATAAGAGGGTTATTTTTTTCTTTCTAAAACAAATTAGTCAGATAATTTTGAATTCCTCACCTTTTGCTTTTATTCTGTGAGCCAGGAAAATATTCTAAATGGATTCCTCCCAACCCCTCAAAAAAAAAAATTTCTCAACTGTGCTTTCACTGATAATACAAGGGCTACCCATTTTCAGACAACTAATGATCGTCACTTAAGGTCACAAGCAATTCCAGACCAATACAGATAAACTTAGCAAGGTTTAGGGGTTACTGAAGCCTCATGAATTAAATTAGACATGAATGCAAGTTACCTGAAGCTTGTTTATTCCTTGAAATCTACTCTCCTGGTGATGTAACTTTATGGGATTAGAGCCAGCAAAATAATAGAATTTGCAAATCTTCTCTGCTACAGCTCTAACATACCCTGCTTGCCTCTCTGTTTCATTTCTATTATTTTAACAAACATACTCAGAGTTCAATTTTAGCTGCAGAATAACCACTGGACTATGTAAGCGATATTTACATGAAACAGCAATAAAGGCATCATTTGAATGGTCAGGACTGGTCTTTCTGTGCAAGAGGTTATCTTCTTTGCTCAGTTTCCACCTTTTAGAGGGCTTCCCAAACTCCTTGTCCTTCTCCCATTGGGTGTAGCCCACTGCACCAGATGGGATCTTTCTTGGCAATATTCAGCTCTGTACTCAACATCTATTATGGCTCCTTGGATACTAAATTATGACCAACCAATCACATAAATCTCAACTTTGTTTCCTCTGAAACACTTCTAAATATTTTAAGAAGAATCAGGCAAATTTCTTTTTCTCTCTCATCTAGAAAGGAACGGATTAGCTTCTGTCATTAAAATATCCTTAAAATGATTTCAAAGTTGTTGAAATAGCATCAATCTCAAAACTCATGGGAAGTTCTACATGCATAAAATTTTTAAGGCTTTCCTTTATTTAAAGTGAAGAGCAACAAGAATTTTGGTATCAACATGATTGTGAAAGTTTTCTACCGTATATTTCTAATATCACATTAGAAATATTAGAAATAATATTAGAAATTAGAAATAATATTAGAAATATTAGAAATAGTAAATATTTGTAATATCGGATTTCTGTCACTAGATAAAACTATATTTTAATATAATCCCAATTTTATTTTTAATTTTGAGTGTTTATACATACATTTTCATACCAAGAAATATAAAATGTCAACAGTGATTACCTTTGATTGATGAAATTACCAGTGATGTTTATTTACTTTTTTATGCTTTTCTCAATTCTCCAAACTTTCTACAATAAGTAGGTTAGACATTCATTTTAAAATTCCCCAAAAAAACACGGTTTAAAATTTTTAATCTGTTTTGCTTTTTAATGTTAAATCAAGCTTAGTTGTAGCAATAAGCAAGCAAACCAACATACCTTTTGATTAAATGGGCTCGGCTATTCACGTAGTTGGAGTCAAAAGAATAGTTTTCAGTCTGCAATGAGAAGAAAAAATTAAAAAGGTTACATAGATGATTCATAAGTAGATTTCGAACTATCCTACTTAGAAGGAATTTTTCTTCTGGGCCAAGAAGCAGCGAGTGAATTGGAACCCAAGGCCACAGTGGAGCAGCAGCCTCTGCCTCCTTCAGGCCCTAGGGGCTCCTGGAGGCAGTAGCTCCCCACTGCAGACCAGGACAGCCTTGGCATAAACATTCCCTAGAATATGACTGGCTACTGACCATGCGGCCACTTACCGAGAAGAGATAACGTGACCTACAATCCTTACAGAAACTAATTGCTTCCCATTCCCCAGTGGAGAAAATTCTATGCCCATCAAATTGACTGGAAGTTCAAAGGTATTTTTATTAGTAGTAGATAATTAACATGTTAAAATATTTATTCCAAAGATATGGAAATGCAGGCAAGGTAATCCCCCACTGTGGATTTAAACTCCGCACTTCCCTTTGTTTCAAGACATTTGCTCAGCACTGGTTATGCAGGAAGGCCTTTGTTTTATCACAGATATAAAGGCAAACAAGCATTATGCCTAAAACAGGGTGAAGGGCAGTCCACAGGGGGTGCCAAAGCCTTTCATGTGAAACATGAAGTTTGCAAGCAAACCCCCGTCTCAGCTCCTATCATTAGAACACCGCTGTTTAATCTGGTTACAGCAGACTGCTGGAGCAATGGCTTTATAAAAGCAAATGCAGAATACCTGCCAGATGAAAGAGACGGCAAAACAGCTTATGATCACCCAGAGGTTGGGAGAACTAGAGGGGAAAAGCCTTAGAAGGGTGAAATCCAGAGAAAAGTCAACACTAAAGTAACTGAATGTCCTGGTAAAGTGATCTCACGCCCAGCACTAAAGTACCACTCTTCTTGTACCATTGTATAATCCAGAAACTACCCAAACACATCTCCCCGAACCTCTTGCCATCCCACTAGAAATCTCCACCATTCCCACTATTCCTTAGGAGCCTTCTGAAATTACTTCAACTGGGAATGTGTGGAAAAGGAAACACAACTGCTATCTAGCAAACAAAATAGCAGATTCCTCTCAGACCTCTACCTGTCAGAAAATAACTGTTCTAGGCTCCTAGATGCAGCCCTTGCTTCCAAGGAGCTCACAGTTTGATGGAGAAGAAAACAGAACAGGCAATAGCAGATCCAGCTACCACATGGGCACCAAACAGCCAGCAGTCAGAGTACAGACCCCAACTGCCTACAATAGGTAGTAACGGGGATGGTGAATGTGTGAGAGAGAGGAGGAGACAGTACTTCAAAGGAAACTAAACCCCAACATTGCCCTGTACTTACTCAGGTGTGTTCACAAACCCACCCATGCCCCTCATTTGAAGATGGACTGTGTAATATCTACTCACACTGCTTTTGTCTAGAAGTTTATATCCCCTTTTTAATGTAAACCCAAGCAATTTTTAATGCTATTGGAAGCATGGGTTGGGAGATTAAGAATCAAAAGGGTTGGTTCATTTCTGGTTTCTTTAGAGAGCGAATGCTGAAATTGTCACAAACAGGATTAGGAGGCAAAGTTGAAGCTGTGTTAGGAATACAATCCAAGTATTTGCTGGAAGAAGTTTATCCAACAGTCAGTCAACCAACAAAGATGTTTAATTGTTGTACCAATATAACAGGTAAAAATGATGTTGGTTAAATGTGTTCATTTATGGTATTCAGTACAATATATAATTTAACAAGTGGGAAGTTCACCACCCCACAAAAATTATGCTACCCTGTGGATGTGGTTTGGACCTGTGTCCCCACCCAAATCTCATGCTGAATTATAATCCTCAATGTTGGAGGTAGGGCCTGGTGGGAAGTGATTTGATCATGGTGGCGATTTCTTTTTTTTTTTTTTTTTGAGACGGAGTCTTGCTCTGTCGCCCAGGCTGGAGTGCAGTGGCGCGATCTCGGCTCACTGCAAGCTCCACCTCCCGGGTTCACGCCATTCTCCCGCCTCAGCCTCCGAGTAGCTGGGACTACAGGCGCCCGCCACCACGCCCGGCTAGTTTTTTTTTGTATTTTTAGTAGAGACGGGGTTTCACCATGTTAGCCAGGATGGTCTCGATCTCCTGACCTCGTGATCCACCCGCCTCGGCCTCCCAAAGTGCTGGGATTACAGGCTTGAGCCACCGCGCCCGGCCAATGGTGGCGATTTCTCATGAATGGTTTAGCACCATCCCTCTTGGTACTGTCTTCTCGATAGTGAAGGAGTTCTCGTCACATCTGGTTGTTTAAAAGTGTGTAGTCCTTCCTCCCCATCTCTCTCTCTTGCTCCTCTGGCCATGTGATATGCCTACTCCCCCTTAACCTTCCATCATGATTGTAAGTTTCCTTAGGCCTCCCCAGAAGCCAAGCAGATGTCAGCATCATGCCTCCTGTACAGTCTGCAGGACCATGGGCCAATTAAACCACTTTTCTTCACGAAATTACCCAGTCTCAGGTATTTCTTTAGGGCAACTTAAGAATGGACTAATACTTCTGTTAAAACCCGGAACTGATTAAGCACTCAGCAGTTCAAATATTCATTTCACTCTGCGATCTTAATCCCTGTGTGCTTCAGTTTCCCTCTCTGTAAAATAGGGATAATAGAACATGAATCCGAAGGAGAATTTCAGCTGCATTTATCAGACCCATAACAGGAATGGCGGGAATCCTGATCCCCTGCTTTATTCAGAACCTGCAACTAACTCCAAGTAGGGTCAGGAATTTGACCTCATTCAGGCAATAAAATAGTGGCACATGCATGTTCCATCTCATCTTCCAAACTTACTAAACCATTTTTTCAAGAAGGTTAGTAAAGAAACAAAAATACACAAAGGAAATCTAGAGGATACTGGCTTTGCAGGAAAAGGATAAGCAGCAACCCAAGCTACTGTATTTAAAGAATCTGTCTTTACTGCCTTTAAAGAAGACAGTTCTCAAGTAGAAAATTTTCCATATCTTTGCATATGAAGGCATGGAACCTGTGTGCACTGTGCATCAAATATGAAGCTCCATGGTGACCTGACCTCCAGGCATGGTGCCAGAGCCACATGTTCAGGCAAAAAAAGCAATACTATGCACATTTTATCGCTAATGAAAATACTACTTCTTGGTCCTAATGCCATAATATATCTCATCATGAGAATTCCCACTCCCGGGCACTGAGTTGAGAAGAGACAAGTCTCGAGGGCTTGTTTGTAATTACCTTAACAATTCTTCCCCCAAATACAGTTCTGTTAACCTTGGGCAGATGTGCCAGGCATGATTTGCTACTGTAAAGAGGAGAATATCATAGAAGCTTATAACCTTCCTATCTTTCTTCCTCCTTTTTTAACTCCAAAGGAATAAACCACCCATTCTTATGGGTCCTGACCTTCAAATGAAAATATATTCCCCCAAATCAAAACAAACCATCATGGGCAGATGTCCCATGCTGCATCCTAATGCAATTAGTAGCGCTAGTCAATGTGGCAGGTTCCTAGAACCGATTTTCCCAGAATGGATGGGGCTATGCTGATTCATCCATTGTCTTGTGCCTTTGTAATCCGTCTCAGGTCTCTTTGTGAGGCAGCTGGGTTACAGTTATGGGAAAAATCTATGCAACAGAATTATTCTAATTGGACAGAATACACTATTCTGGCCTCATTAGTACTACATTCCAAACAACTGAGTTAACTGGCCATAGATGGGCTATTATATTATGGGTCTATGTATACTGACATCAAGTGTTCTAGCTCATACTGGTTCGAGGTGTATGCCCAAACCCAACTCCTGTGCACTGAGAGAGTATATTTTTTCACACTTCTGGTGGAGCAAAGGATGAGATTCAGATCATCCTGAAGAAGGAAATATTTTCTTAATGAACAGTTTGTATGTCTTAAGCCAGTGGCTCTCGGCCCTAACTACAAATGAGAAGCAACTCAGAATCTTCTTGTAAAACATAAAAAATAAAAATACTGTCACCAAGGACCCACTCCAAGAGATTCTGAGGTAATTAGCCTGGAATTGGATCCAGGCACTGGGTGGTTTTTTTAAAAGCTTTCCAGGAAATTTTAGTGTACCTCCAGGGTGGCAAATAACTGTCTTGAGCAAAGGGCTGGCCACAGGCTCTGACCTAATGTGCTGCATTTTCTAAGGCAAGCCCAGTTGTTTAGAAGATGTCATTTCTTTTGTCAGATTACCTACCAAGGTCATCTCAATATAGGATAAAGAACCACAGAAGAAATACATTCTTTAAGATATAATACAAAAGCCTTTTTTTTTTTTCATGAGTGTATTGGCTCCTACTTAGCCTTATGTAATCAAAATTTGCTTGACATTATTCCAATACCTTCTCTAAGTATACTAAATGGCAAACAACATGAAACATTTGAGAGAGGAAATTTTCTCTAAATGTCACATTAATTTCACTAGGAAATGTCTCCATTTCTAATGAGACAGGCAGGTTAACACAAGAACACAGCAAAGAGATAAGAACAACATTTGCTTTGGAAAAACCTAATTGTGACATTAAAAAAATGAGTCTAGAGCAAACTTTTTTATTTCATCTCAGTGGTAAATAAGAGTCACTTTCTTATTATTTAGTATATTTATCACAAATTTGTTTTCTTTTTCTTTCTTTTTTTTTTTTTTAGTAGAGACGGGGTTTCACCGTGTTAGCCAGGATGGTCTCGATCTCCTGACCTCGTGATCCGCCCGTCTCGGTGTCTTGCTCTGTGGCCCAGGCTGGAGTGCAGTGGCTGGATCTCAGCTCACTGCAAGTTCCGCCTCCTGGGTTTACGCGATTCTCCTGCCTCAGCCTCCTGAGTAGCTGGGACTACAGGCGCCCACCACCTCGCCGGGCTAGGTTTTTTTTTGTATTTTTTAGTAGAGACGGAGTTTCACCATGTTAGCAGGATGGTCTCCTGACCTCGTGATCCGCCCGTCTCAGCCTCCCAAAGTGACAAATTCTTTTTCTAATTTGAATTCTTTATCCTTGGGTGTAACAGTG